ACCAGCTGATTCCAGATGGAATTTGTACAGTATGCTTCTATAAAGATTACAGCCTCGGAAACCCTATGTGACAATACTACTCTGTCCTATAGGTCAATCTGAGTTGAAATGGACTTAATGGGTCACAGATCATGCAAGTATGTCCCCCACTCTCCCGCACACATTTAAAGAGATATGACTAAAATATTTGGAGGAAGTGAACGAGGGTGGAAAACTAATACTATCAGAGGAATTTGATATCAAGTTTCCCCCAACTTTCATACTTTTGCCACTACTGTAATTATTAGGGAATATTATGGCTCTGTATAATAATCACTGGCCTGCAAAGCATAAAGTCAATAGTTTGAGTCCACCAGCCATACCACAAGACAGATGCAACCTTTCTGCTCCTGTGAAGAATTAAACTCCCAGCAGGCCTATATAGGGTTGCTATGAGTTGGAACTGACTTGAAGGCTCTTAACAACAACAACAATAATTATTAATACCATTATCACTATTATTATTATTACTACTACTTTCTTATGGTGGGCAGCAATGTCCATGTAGAGGACGTAAAGGGCTTGCCGTTGTCTTGTCGTGACTAATTTTAGGTTTCAGGTCTCTTTTAAAAGGACCAAATATTTCTCTCAGTGAAATTTGTAATTGTTACTGAACTTTTTTTATCTTTTTGATTTTCCTATACAAGATATGTGGGAGAAACATGAAGCTTTCTGGCTCCCATAAAGATTTGCAGCCTCGGAAACCCTGTACAGGGTTTTTATGAGTCAGAACCGACTCCACAGCACATAACAACAGCAAACACAAGATGTATATATTGCCATGGAAAACCTCAACAACTTCTCAACCAACTTAATGTCTAAATAGGTCTCTTTTTTATTCTTATAAGAATTATGGTGTTATTTTAATAAAGTAAGAAAAATCTATATAAATCTCTCAACAACTGTTCAACATAAAGCAATACCTCATATTGTGTGATGTATGGTGTTTGTTAGTATTGTATCAGGATGCCGAAAAATGAGAGTTTATTTTTCTTTTTTATTGTCTCCTCTGAAGTTGAATTCACTTCATATCTATTTTTATACGCCATCATATCTCATTTCTGAATACAAAGGATAAAGACTGTTATACAATCAGAAACTATCTTTAAACAGTTTATAGAAAAGTAGATAAAGGATTAAGTCATGGCATTTGAGAATAGCCCATATTCCTTTAAAACCATTAGAAATAGCCTTCTTAAACAACTTTCCCCAGCTCTTGCACCCTGCTCCCCCCACAAAGAAAATTGTTGCAAATAGAAAATTAATGTGAAATTATAAGCTTCCTTGAGAAAAATAAGTGATTTTAACCCCTTTACAATGCTTTCACTCATTATTCTAGTGATGTTTTAAGTGGACCTCTAATTTATCATCTTTTCTTCTTTCAAGTTATAGTAGTACTGTTTGCAGCTCTGAAACGACAGCGGAAAAAAGAGCCTCTGATCTTATCTAAAGAAGATATCAGAGACAACATTGTGAGCTATAATGATGAAGGGGGTGGAGAGGAGGACACCCAGGCCTTTGATATTGGCACCCTAAGGAATCCTGCGTCTATTGAGGAAAAGAAGCTCCGGCGAGATATTATTCCAGAGACTTTATTTATCCCACGAAGGACTCCTACCGCTCCAGATAACACAGATGTTCGGGATTTCATTAATGAAAGGCTAAAGGAGCATGATCTTGACCCTACCGCCCCTCCCTACGACTCACTGGCAACCTATGCCTATGAAGGGAATGATTCCGTCGCTGAATCTCTGAGTTCATTAGAATCAGGTACTACTGAAGGAGACCAAAACTACGATTACCTCCGAGAATGGGGCCCTCGTTTTAATAAGCTAGCAGAAATGTATGGAGGCGGAGAAAGTGACAAAGACTGTTAACCTAGGATATGCGTTCTGTTCTACACCATCCACATCCAGGATGATATTCCTGCCATGCAGCATCATTATTTTTCCAGTTACATTTTAATTTTTTCATTAATTGCATTAATTCTTTACTGTAGGATGTCTCATGGAATATATACGACATTTTATTTAATCACTTCCAAGAGCCAAAGCTATGGAAATTCAGTGTTGTCCATCTTAGTAAATAAAATAATAATTTTGGAAACGTGAACAGGATAGCTCTCCCTTAAGCAACCTCACAAACAAGCCGCTTCTGTTACATACAAGCCCTGTCCTTGCAAATGAAGCATTTAAAAGGTGAAAGAAATTTTTCAAGTAAATCCTGTTCTGTACATTAAATTTAAATGAAAATGTACATGTATTGTTAGTAGGTGTGATATGCAACCTGGTATACAAATGTTTGTGCAATTTCATTTCATCAAATTCTATCTGCTAATGTTTTATATTTATATTTTTGTATTTATTTTTAAAAAATAAACCAGTTTTTACAACTACTTGCTCTCCAGGTTCTTTTTCCCCCTAGATTGAATGAAATATCTTGATACAAAACTACTTTGACTACCAGTTAAGATTACAGGACTCCGAGTGTGGCACTATAGATAAAGCCAGGTTTATGTAGAGTGCCCAAACACCTAGCCCTGCTAGGAAACACTATACAGGGTTGCTATCAGTTAGAATGTTTCCAAGGCACTTAACAGCAACAACCACCACAATACCAACAGGATCACATAGACAATCCAATTAGCATTGAGAGCTCCACAAAAACAATACAATTTAGATATAATTTAGAATAATTTATCTAATGATTGTTATGCTATGTCAAGTGAAAAACTCTTCATCTTAAAAGTAACTATTTGTTTGTAAACCAATACTGGTTGTCCACAGATCCAATCTAACTTATAGTGACCCTGGGTTTTCAGAGAGTTCTGATCCACAGGGTTTTCAATGCCAGATTTTTCTAAAGTGGATCCTCAGAATTTATTAAAAGCTCTTTTTGGGTGGGCTTTTACTTCCAATCATATGTATCTTTACAACATTACAACATAACAAACTGAAAACATGGCCATCTTCATGATAAATATTCCCAAACACATCAGTATGGTCATTTATTTTTGTTCGTATTCACAAAGGTGATAACTGGAATAATAAAATATTTCCTTGTTTTCCTATGACATTGATGCTACTCAGGATTTGGGGCAATACTGGTTCAGACAGGTTGCAGGCTAAAATAATCCTCTAATGGAAAATACACTAACCTCCCATAGTGAATCTGAAAATGCCTAATAATGACAGTATTTCATTGAATAGTCCATTAAGATACAGCATTGTAACTATGCCAGGTTTTCCAATATGCATTACATATTTATTTGCAACAAAATCTGACTTTTCTGTCAATGAATGATTCAATAGATAGTCCCCCCAAAAAAAAAAAAATTACTGACAATCAATTATCCAGAGTCCCTGAGATTCAAGGAGGTCACTGCCACTAACTGATGTTTGTTTCTCAAATGCTAAAGCATGATTTATTTATAAATGGAGCACTTTATTGGGTCTAGGATAGGAAGTTACATTTCCTGCTGAGCTGATTGTAAACAATACCAAAGTTTCATCTGTTCTCCAATTAGTGAAAATGCTGTTTTTGGAGTGAGTCACGGTGCAATATTGACATACCCTTAATGGAGAATTAATTATTTCAATCATCTTGAATAATAATTGTTTCAAACTTCCAGGCTAAAAGGCCCATATGTCTCTGATCCAAGACATTTTGGTTTTCACAGTGTCTAATTATGAAGAAGAAGAAGAAAAAAATTCCTCTGCTCTAGTTAAAACTGCAGATCTATGACAAGAATTAAGTTTAGAGTCAAATTGGATCAACTGGAAGTAAAAAATGTTTATTTTAACTTTTTTAGATATCAGTCATTGAGATTTTTATTTGGCTATTTAGTTTATTCTCATTCAGAAAACTTCCAAATGGTATTAACTTGTCTGCTTTTTTATTGATTTGTCACCTAGTGGTCATAATTTTCAACAAGTATAGTAGCATTTCAAATCAGCTTTTCAAAAGCAGAAGAGAAAAAAAATTAATTTGTAAGTATTTTTGTAAAATATGGATGATTTTACCATCTAGTGTCATCTAGTATTCATAATTTTAAAGAAGTATAGCAGATCCAAATCAGTATTTCAAAAAAAGAAGAGAAAAAATTAATTTACAGATATTTTTATAAAATAAGAACTGTTTTACCACAAATATTTTATTAGAGTATTCAAATATAGTACAGAAACAAAAATTCTAAATATTAAATAGTGTGCCTTAAATGATTTGCTCAAAGATTTCAAAATATTCTCCTTGGCATGTATGTTACTCTCCAAAGGGACTTACAATTTATAGACTTATAAATATATACTACATATATTTCAGGAGCTCTGGACGCGAATTGGTTACTGTCGTCAGCAGTTTGAAACTACCAATCATTCCATAGAAGAAAGATGAGACTTTCTGCTTCCATAAAATTTACAGACTTGGAAATCCAATACAGGGTTACTACAAGTCAGAACCAAATCCACAGACATAACCACCAACCACCCTCACCTATGTTCCAGATCTCTTTCATCTGTGTATTGATGGGAATGCTTTTCAGTCATATTATTGATTTCACAGGAAAACTTAGGGTCTTCATTTACTTACCCATTTATTATTTTATTCTTCAAGTATTTATTAAGTGTATTTACTAAGTGCATAAAATCAAAAGATATTGTAGATTTTAGTAAAGCTGTAGTAAAATATGTTTTGTATATCCACAATTTTTCCCATCAATAAGAATTTTTATAACATTAAATCGCTATAAAACATTCTCAGTTTTTAGCAAGATATTTAACATTGACTTTAATTTATGACACACACTAAAGAAATGCTCTAAGCTCATTTCCATGATGGAATTATTCAGATAAGTAAAATGAAATGATTTTTAAAGATTGTTTGTTAGAAATGGTTATAAAGTCATTCCGCTTAATGGGTGCTATTAAAATATGCAATCAATAATATGCACATGTTCTTAAATTGAGGTTTCTTTTATCCCTTGTCAAGATGATACACTTATATACTCTCAGAGTTCCAGATACGTTGGTAAACTTAAGCACATTAATCATTAGTAATTAGATATCCATGGTCTGCTAAAGATGAGGGAATTTAAGACTTAAGTTAAAATTATGGATTCTAAATATCTATATATGTGGTTTAATTTATTAGTTGTTGTCATTAGGTGTCTTTGAATTGGTACCAACTAATAGTGATCCTATGTACAACAGACCAAACCAAAGCCCATTCTGGTACAAACCTCACAATAATTGCTACATTTGAGCCCATTGCTGCTGCCGCTACGCCACTTCATCCCTCCACTTTACCAAATATGATATCCTTCTCCAGGGACTAAACCCTCTAACATTATGTCTGAAGTATGAGAAACGAACTCTGACCATCCTGGCTTTCAATGTACTTTTTTCAACACTGATCTATTTGTTCTTTTGGCAGTTCATGGTACTTTTAATATTCTCCTCCAACACCATAACCCAAATGCGTCAATTCTCCTGTGGTCTACCTTATCCATTGTCCAGCTGTCACATACATATGAGGTTATAGAAAATACTATGGCTTGGCACACCTTAGTCCTCAAACTGACATCTTTGGTCTTCAACACTTTAAAAAGATCTTGTAGAACAGATTTATCTAATGTAATCCATTGTTTAATTTATTAGCTGCTGCTTCCATGAGTGTTAATGGTTGATCCAAGCAAAATGAAGCCTTTGACAACTTCAAGATTTCCTACATTTTTATGGATGTTGTTTATGAGCCCATTGGTGAGAATTTTTGTCATTTTTACATTGAGATGCAACCCATACTGAAGGCTGTGGTCATTGATCTTCATGTATAAGTATTTTAAGTTCTTTTGACTTTTCAGCAAGCAAGTTTGTATCATCTATATATCACAAATTGTTAATGAATCTTCCTCAAATCCTGATGCCACGTTTTTCTTCATATAATCCAGCTTCTCAGATTATGTGCTCGACATACAGATTCAGTAAGTATGGTGAAAGTATATACCTCGTGCACACATCTTTCCTAATTTTAAACCACTCAGTGTTCCCTTGTTCTTTTCAAACAATTGCCTCTTGTCCTATGTACAGGTTCCTCATGAGCACAATTAAGTGTTCTGGAATACGCATTTTCCACGATGTTGTTCATAGCTTGCCATTATCCATACAATCAAAAGTCTTCACATAGTCAGTAAAACACAGATAAACATCTTACTGATAATCTCTCCTTTCAACCAAGATCCATCTAACATCAGCAACGATATTCCTCGTTCTATGTCCTCATCTGAATACAGCTTGAAAGTCTGGCAGTTCTCTGTCAATGTACTTCTGCAGTCATTTTTGTATAATTTTTAGCAAAATTTTGCTTCTATCAGTTATTAATCATACTTTCCGATGACTTTTGCATTCCTGTGAGTCAGTTCTCTTTGGAATGGGCACAAATATGGATTTCTTCCAATCAGTTACGCAAGTTGTAGTCTTCCAAATTCTTTGGTAGAAATGAGTGAGTGCCCCAGTGTTGCATCAATGTGCTGAAATATTTCAATTTGTATTCCATCAATT